GTAGCTGGGGGGCAGTGGGTGAAGGCTGATTAAATATCTTCCTACCTTCATTTATGAGCAAAGGACTGCTTTCTTTCATAAGCAATAGGGGTGGACAATTGATTTCTTTTATTTGTCTCAATCACCTTTTTTCAACCTTAGAATTAATTGGAGTTAGTCCCAGATTCTAGCAAGGTTGTTTTTCAGTCTTTGTTCTCACTGTTACTAAGAATTTCATCTTTTTTATGCTTTGCCTTCATTTCTGAGAAAGGCCACACTGTGGGTTGCTAACACATGGCCATTTTAGGCAAGAACTCAGCTATTACACAAAATGTTCCAGGTATAACTTTAACAACAACAAAAAAACTTTGTGAGCAATATGACAAATGGAAATGTAAGTTATACTGGAAAAAGGAACCGAGGCCATTATTCTTTTATGGAGTACAAATGACCACATTTTGACAATTTTCCTTTTTTTCTCTTTAATATAGCCAATACTGGCAAAAACACCCTGATGAAAATACCTCAGAGATCAGCATTCTCTTTTCCCCACATAAGGTTAATACCTTCCATGTTTCCCCAGCTCTCCTGCTTGTAGACAATTTTATTATTTAGCATCTATCAAACTGCTGCAGCACTGGACACTTAGACAACACATAAAAGATATGTTCCCTCACTATATCTTTCCCATGAGCATGCACACCTCCCCAAAAGACCAGCCAATAATGATTTTGTAGTCTGGAGTGAAAAATTGCTGGGCAGGGACTATATCATGGGTTTGCAAACTCATAAGCCTACAGGGGCCAGGCGATCAAATGACTGAGCAAAGACTTAGTGTCTGCTTATTAAATACTTTTGAATAGTCTTCATTATCACAAACAAATATACTCTTTCATTTTTTTTCTAGATAACATGATTTTTGATATACCTTTTATTTTCCCACTTTTGGTAGAATTATATGACTTTAGAGAAATGTGTTTCAACTATAAGAAAATAACATGGAAAGCATAATAATAAATAATAGCAACAGTCATTTGTAGTAAATGATACATTTATATAACAGGGAGTGGTTGGAAATTTGAATTTTAACATGAAATATAGCTTTAAATGCTGGCAAAAAATTTAAATTATATTGTGCAGGTTATTTTGAAATATAACATATTTAGGGGCTAAACTTGACCAAAATGTGGCTTCTGAAACATATAGTTTCTTTTGGGAGGGTTTTGTTTTTTATATGTTGATTTTGAGATTATTGATGATAACTATTTCTGTCTATTCTACTTTTAGTTCATGTCTCAGGTAGGGTTTAGGCAATCAAGTTTTAGAAGCTCTATAAATAATTCTTACGTTCATCTAGAGTTGGGAGTGGCTGGTACAGCGTCTGGTTAGAGTGGACGTGCTCCGCCTGCCCATCTACTCTCACTCCTCAAAGAAAAGGGCTGCCCTCCAACAATGATAGCAACCACACATTCTTGATGAGGTTCATTATGTAATTGGGTAGCTGAGGAGATTTGTGTATGTGATTCACGATCACAGGGAAGCATTTCGTTAAGAATGCTTGAACCTTATCAGTTGGTCATATCTGTAAGTAAAATGGAGATTATCTTGGTATAGATAGATAAGTCCCCTATGCACAGTCCAAGAAAATGATATAATAGTCTAGGAAATGTAAGCAATCTTGACCCTAGACTACTAGATGATTTTGTGAGGCAGGGAAAATTAGCCAGATATTTCCACATCCTTAAAGGAGCCCTTACATTCCTCCAGCACTCTTTGACTTGATCATGTGCACCTAGCAGTCTTCTAATTACCAAGTATATTTTACAGAAACTTCAGTGTTTGGCAGGGGCCAAATGAATGCAAGTATTTTATTCACTGGGAAGGAATTGGGGTAATAAATCAGCCCTCTGTGATCTTGGTTAACATAACTCAGCCTTCAAAACCCTGATCAACCTAAACATACTGACAAAATTCAGTTCTCTGGCTTACAACATTGAGAAACAACCCCCATGACTGCTCTGTGAGACTCAATTTTGGGAAGGGGATAGAGGTGTGGTGGCAGCGTATTCTATCTGATTCTTTGGCATATTCTAATTCAAAATGAACTTGAAAAAATTTATTTTAAGCCTTCAGCACTTTTACTTGTATTTTTTCAGGATGTGAAAATTGAGTTGAAGAAATCTGTTAAGTTTCCATGGAAATGGTGCCAATTAATTTTTTTTTTCCTGTTCCTCAGGAAAATTCTTTGACTTAGCAATAATGTAACTTCCTGGCAATCCCTTGGCAGTCTTGAACTTAGTGCCTCTGAAATGCCTACACTTACAGTGGGAAAATCACTGGCTGTCATAATCCCTTTTCCTTCCAGAATATAGTGGAAGAATTAAATAGTTTCTTTAACCTTATTTAGAGAATTTGTCTAGCCCCTTTAGAAAATCTTGACTCTGGCAAACATTTCATAAAAGGCCCTTCTCTCCCTTGCCAAAAGATTATCATTGGTGAAGTATATACTACTTTTCCTATTATGCTATAAAATCTCAGGATATTTGAAGAGTATTCACTACTTCAGTAATAAGCAGTTTACATTGCCTAGTATGTTCCATTGACTTGATGATCATAATATCTAGGCAGTTTAGAGATATATGGATGGATGGAGTAAGCCCTTTTAGGTACTTAGGTAATTAATTCTTTTACTTGAAAATATTCCCAATTATTCATAATTATCTTTTTTCCCCCTCACGCTAGATGTTGATTTCTCTGCAGCTTGTAGACATTGGAGAAAGTTTTTTTTTTTTTTTTTAAAAAGCATTCCATAAGGTTTGATGTTCTCTCAGTCCTTGCAAATACAGCAATGTTCTGTTCCATTCGGGTAGGTTACTGATATGCAGGATTAAAGGAATCTAGGGAAACTGCTGTCAGATGACTATCAAAAATGTCCTCAATATGTTAAATCCAGAAAGAAAAAAATTTCAAATAAATATGATCAAAATTTTCAGTATCCTAGTCCCCAAAGAATTTTAAGAATCTAATGAAATTGACCTTTATGAAACAAATAAGGTAACAAGATATGGACAGATGTCAATTCAATAAAATATTGTATGATTAGGTCCTTGTTTCCTTTCACCATTTTCCTCTCCCCCCTTTTGTTCTGGGTACAAATTGGTACTATTTTTCTGTACATATGGATACTTGAATTGGGCTCTTCTAGGCTTACTGGATACTAGCAGCATTTCCTTATATTGCTCTCTGTGGGACAGCAAGAAGGATGATTGATAAGACCAAGCTTTCCACAGATGTCTTTATTACACTTGATACTTGTCACTTTCCTTCATCTGCTATGGGCCCCTTCACATTTTCCCCTTAACTCTAAGAGAATTTAATTAAAAATGTAATTGAATAATTTATAAGAAAAATGCTTTAGGGAATTTTCTCCCAAATAACTCAAAGCATCTTGTCCCATTATTCTTTCCAAAGCTCTGTGAGGTATGTGGGAGAGTCCAGATAGGAATAATCTTATCTACCTTGTTTAGTTCCCTAGTAACTGTTCTGATCCTAACTGTACAATGATATTACACAGAGCTTTGCATTTATTTCTCAAGAGTGCTAAAGACACAGTGGGAGCATAATAGTAGACTTAAAAAAGATATATATGTCTCTTAAAATTATGAAATCACTAAAAATGGAAAATTGTCAAATAAAGTTATTGCATGTAAATTTACAAGCAGTGAATCCAAGTGATTCATGGGAGAATAGAAGTTCAGTATCATCATGTGTTGTATTCAAACAACATGTACTTGATCGGAAAAATGATCTAAGCATAACCTTGCTGCTGTGGGCAATGCTACTTGAAGTGATAGGTGAAAATCATTCATTTAAGGGCACACCTTTGTTTTGAGGACAATTCATAGCATCCTAGGAGCAGGTCCATTGAGATTCTATGTTTAGTAGTTCAGTGGGAGTTAGAAATTGGCACAATCATTACCTATTGATCTCCACAATGGCACAAAAGGAGACTGATTATGGGAGTCATTATGGGCTGCCATGAAATAATTTCCTGGTTTTATTTTAATGTCTCTCTTAACAATTTATTGGTACCAATTTCAAGGTAATATTATTCTGGACCGAGGTTATTACAGAGGTGGGTCTCTATCTGCTCACTGATTATCATAGTCAGCTAATGGTATCTGTATCTCTGCTACGTTTTACAATTTTCATTTTAAACAGTAAGTAAGGTCTTCTTATCAGGAAAAAAAAATCATAATAAATAACCTGCTATAGTGTCTGTCAGCACCACGCTCAGCTTTTTTTTTTTTAAAAGATGACCGGTAAGGGGATCTCTACCCTTGGCTTGGTGTTGTCAGCACCACGCTCAGTCTGTGAGCAAACTGGCCATCCCTATATAGGATCCGAACCTGCGGCCTTGGTGTTATCAGCACCACACTCTACCGAGTGAGTGTCTGTATTAAATAGGAGACAAGTATTTCAGGGAAAACTGGAGGCAGAAAATATTCCTCCTGTGTAAGATATTTTAGTGGTTATAGTTTTCAGATCTCTTCTGCATGACAAATAATTGTTCAAAAAATGTGGCATCAAATACTGAAGGTTAGACAATAGTGGGAAAAGGGTACAATCTTTGATTGGCATTTAACACAGAGCATAGACAACTTATGCTATTTCCCTCCTTTGGGGAATCAATCATCTGCCCCTCCCACCTAAGTTAAGTTCTACAGACTTCCCTCTACACAAAATTTGTCTTACTTGACCTTCCCGGAGCCCTCAAAACAACATCAACCACATCATCACAAATATTTTGACGAGGCCATTTCATGTCTTTGTTAATTAAAATAATCTTTTTGCATCGATTTTATTATGGCAAAATTGTATTTGAGTTAGACACTAACTTAAGAGTAAAATTAATAAAGCACCCAATTATTTATTCCTGTCCTAAAAGGCTTTATTCAGTATTCATAAGTTTTTAAGTCTTACTTAGAGAGTATTAGGTAGACTGAAGTTAGTGTCAGTACCTTGTTTCTTAGGAGGACCATGGAACTTGTCGATGTCAGATTGCCTTCTGGCTGCCTTTTGTTGGAACACTGTAAATAATATAGAACATATTATTTAGTGAACATAAACATTAAAAATAACAAACTGTAGATGTCTACAGGAAGTTAGAATGCAATATGTCTTTTTCTTTAGTAACAATTCCTGAATTGTATTATTTGAGTAGGAGAATTATTAAATTTACAATTTTCTCATTTGTGCAGCTTATCAGTCATTTTGCAAAGCATTTTCTTTGGGCAGAGTAGGATAGTGCTAATGGAATGCCTCATTAAACTATTTGAATCAAGATATGATTCCATTTTGATATCAGGTAGAGATTAAAGCTGCACTTTGTTAAAAGTGATAAATGTTAAAATCACATGAAAAATTCCATTTGCACAGAAATTACTCATGCTGACTTTTTGGTGATAAGCAAGGGTAATGACTGTTTCTTCTTAAACAGATGAAAAGACTGTTGTATTTCACAGATGTGATAATAAAAAAGACACTTTATTCTTGCATCATCTATCTAGACCTCAGACCTATTAAAGTAGCTTATTCAAATTACTTCATTATCTGAAAAGTGCTTTGTTCTCATTTATTATTTCTTACACAAAGTTCTGGGAGACAAGTCAGCATTACTCACCACATTTTGCAGATGAAAGATAAAATTGATTGCTTAGTACTTATATTTATTGAGCACCCACAAAGTTCTGTATAGCTTCTGGCATTTGTTAATGAAAAAGTCCAGACCCGTTACAACTTTACTTTAGAAAATGAACATCCCAGGGTTACATTTATTTTTATGGGCAGTTTGAATTAAGGGTTTGGGAACTGGAAAAAACCTTGGAGATTTAGTCCAACCTCATGTGTTTATAGATGAGGGAGGTGGAAGTAACTAGCTTGTAAAAGGGCTAAGTAATTTTGCAAATTTTGATCCCAAAGCTGTTGGCTAGTAGAGATGTGATTTAGAGCCTCAAGCCTAGAACTTCAATCTATTGCTTGGTTCCTTCCAGCACTGCTACCTCTTCCCCTCCATGACTATTTCCTTTAATAGGTAAAGAAGGAAACAGAGGGAGAGGATTAAAAGGAGACTTAGAGCATTTTTAACATGGTTGTGTCTCTTGTTCATTTTAAGAGCTCAACGGGACTTCCTGGGGTAATTGAACTGAGGCACGTAGGAGTGGGAGTGCTCCAGCTGGATGGTGCTCAGACACTCTGACTGGAGGAAGCATCCCGCAGTTATCTTAGATCACTGTCTTTGGTTATAATATGCTTTAAAACAATCTAATATCAAGATCATACCAGTGCTTAATGAAAAGACATTTTTTGAGTTTAAAAATGTGCCCCCAAATATATCAAAGCAACAATTATTTATTAAGCATACATACTTTGACAGATGCTGTCAAGAGAAAGGATCCTCCTGTCTATTGTCCTTTTTCGAACAGAAGAGGCAAATACATTTTCAAAGTATAATGTGTTTGAGAAAGATGATACACACAAAATAACATTTCTGGTTGAAAATCAGTTTTCTGCTTCAAGTTAGTATTTGAAAAACATGCTGAATATAACTAACTGGCAAGTTCTGGGTTAGTGGCTTATTTTTCCTAAAATATAATATATTGAGGGATATGAGGTGTGTGAATATATTTTAGGATACTAGAAGAATTTTTAAAAATGGTATTTGGTTTTTATTTTCATTGGCCAGTTCTAAAAGTCTTTAAAAAATGCAATGCTTTTGAAATTTTAATAACATGCAGACTTTTTCTACTTTTTTGCCAATATTGTTAAGATATAAATGAGAATGTATAAGACTAAAAAGCTGTAATATGCTATCATTAATATGAGAAATGACCTGAGTCCAAAGATAAATTCAGACAATAAATTCTTCAAATAAAAATTACATTAATTGATAAGTTTAAAGAATTCTGCTGAGGTTTGAAGCTACAGAGTACTTGGAAATGGAATTATTTTTTCAGCATTTTATTTAGCATTAATTTGTTAAAAACCACTTTATAACCCATATTTTATTGGAATACTTCCTGTTGACAACAAATGCTCAGGCTATTTGAAATATGGCAAATATCAAATAAATGCTCTTTTTTCAGTTACTAGATTAAGCATTTACACGTAGTGTATTTATTTATTATTGAGATTTCACCATGGCTTATACTTGGAGCTGCCCAGGATGAGGGTGGAGGATTGGAATGGGAGAGTGGGATGCTATTCATGAGGTGATTATGAAAACCCTGATAACAGAACTCTTTAAAAGCAGCATGTGCAGTAGTAGGTCACACCAAACAGGACAAAGGTCCTTTCTACCTGTTTAGTTGCCTTGGAATTCCCAGCTAATTCATCTCCAGTTGCATCCATTCCTCCCTGTTCCCCTTCTTCCACCAAAAGATGAGCCTCATTTTGTTACAAAAGCCTAATTAGCAATTAGCATATCTCCATGTCTTCTCTTCTCTATGAAAGTTAGGAGGTGTTTTTAAGTTTATAAGGTCACCTTGGGAAAGGACCTATTTTAACTTGTTTCCTGAAGAAAGAGTTAACCCATCACAATTATCACTGAAGCAAACTATATCAACGACACATACTTCATCGGCCTTAGAAAAGAATATAAACTCTATATAAAATAAAAAATTTTAGAATTCATCAATCTTCCTTTTTTACAGTTAATATTAACTGAAACATTTAAAATTGCTTCCACCAGTAAAACCTTTCTTCTAAAAAGTCTTATACACTTTATACTTATCATATTCAATCACTTCACACAAACTTTACAGGAGGTAAATATAAAATCTATGCTAGAGTGAGAAATGAGGGTTGGGTTATGGGTCACTCAGATTTATATACAAAAGTACATGTTTTTGTAAAGCAAGATTTGTGATGAGCTAGGTGAGTCTCTTTTAAACATATTGTAATTGGAAAAAATCTGTATACTAGAATGCTAACCAATTTGGCACAGCAGAAGGAGTATAGTTTTGTCTTTATATTAACAACATGCATTACATGGAAAAGGGCTTTCTCCTCCTGGACCTTTATTTTCTTGTCAATAAAGTTAGGGCTTAGAAGCAATGATCTCTAACATCTCACTCAGCTATAACATTCTAAGATGTTGCCAATTCTTATTCCCAAGTCCTTCCAGGTCTAATGGTGCCAGGATAAATTTTTAAGTGAGTATGAATTTAAGTAGAATGATATTTTCTGAAGAAGAAATTATTTGTAATGTGGGGATTTAGACTAATAGAAAAGCTAGAAGGTTAAATCACAGACTAACATTAATTTTTTAAATAATATACTGAGATGATCCTGTCCCTATGGAGGATCATTATAAATTCTTGGAGGACATTATTTTCACCACATTTTACCCCATCAATGTTCAAAGAATGCTATCAAGGCACTTATGACATATGTCAACTTTGATGACTCTGCCCCAGTAAAATCTTATTTTTCTCTTTCTACCCAAAATTAGAATTTGAGAAGAAAGAAACATGAATGTATTATTAGTTGTAGTCAATACCTTTAAACATAAAAAAAAGTCCATAGAGAAAGAAAGATAATTTTTGAGGTATAAAATAACCCCCCAAAATAGAAATCTCCCAAATAACATCCCTGTTTATTTTAAATATTGGTGGAATGACTTCTGCAAAATTTTCTCCAGAATAGGAATGACATTGAATGGAAAAACATTAGCATAGTATTAAATATTCAAAATGTTAAGCAAAGCAGAGCTAGCAGAAGAGCAGAGGAGGAGAAGGTGAAATATAACGATTAACTAGAACTATTTGTCTTACCAGGCTGCTTCTGCAAAAACATTCTTCATGTCATCCTGATTTGTGGCCTATTTCAAGCAAAGGGACTCTTCCAGAGCAGCCATTCTTAGAAAATCTGATAAAGCTTATTTTGAATTATTTTGTAAGTGGCTAAGGTGATGAAAAGTCTGTGCAATAGCCAATAGCATTCATGAAGATATGAATTATAACCCACAAGCCCCTTGAGGATTCATGCCCACTAGAACATTCATGCCCACTAGAACTGAACAATGAAATGTTATATAGAGATGTACACCTGTCACTGAGATCACTCTTGAAACTAGAGATTTGATATAAAATAAAATACACAGATCTGTATTGTGTTCTGAACTTTCAGAGAATGATACTGTGTAGGGTGGAACCAGTATGTTTTTTATTCATTCAACAACCTTTCAATAGGTTGCAACTACATAGTTAAGTGCTGTGCTAGGTTCTGAGGACACAAAGGTAAATAAGGCATAGTCACAGTTGCCATACTATCCTCTATTTTGGTGTATTCATTTAAGTAAAGGTCAAATGTGTCATTATACTGCCTACTGATGAAAGAGGATACAAATGAGAAATAGTCAGGAAGAGCAAGGGTCATAATTCAGTCCTTGTAACTGTATTCTGCCTACCTTGTTCCTCCAATTTGCACCATGTAAAAGCTAATCACAGAAAGGCAGAATGAGGTAAAAGAAAACAGTGTACACAATCCCTTTGTCTAGCCGGTACATGCAGGGAACAGAATGTTCTAACCCTATAAGTAGTAATGCTGACTAATCTGAAGGTCAGATTAAGATGTGGCCTCTTTGCAAATTGACTAAGAAAGACTGAGCTCTCCAGTCACCTTAAAACTGCCATTTCATTGTGCTAGTAATAGTTACAGGTTATTAATTTGAACAAATTTATCAAAATCAGGCCACCACAGTTGAACAGATACATTCAAGGTAGTGCAGACGCAAATAAACAGCCACATCAGCCACATAATATGAAAGTCTTTCACCTGAAAGCAGTTTACTGAATGGCAGACACATGTGGTTGGGAGTTGTGGCATTATATTTTTAGGAAGAATCTGTAAATCGTCAGCTAGCACACATGAGGTCACTGACATGGTTACCAAAGCTTACTCTGGAGATTGGCAGAGATGGAAAGTTGGAAAGCACATAGCTGCATAAAAGAAAATGGCACAGAAATTTGAATTCAAAGGAGATATCAATGAATGCTTTAGTTTCTTAAGGAGAAAATGTTAATTTTCT